TCTGTAAGTCCTAGAAATAGCATTGGCTGTGATAATAGAGACTGCCAATATTTAAAGGTATGGTATTTCAGATCAGTATTCACTGCATTGCCTAGGCTTTTGGTTTCCCCATAATTATTACCCACACAATATTTGGCAGCCAAGCTTCTCATTTTCATGATTATTCTGTGTATTTTAAAAGCTCTCATTTGATATTTTTCACAAATATTTTCTTCTAAAATTCTAAATAAAAATATTCGGTGGTGTTTAAAATAGATTTAAAGAAGAACAGATAAGGTAAGTCTTTCCTAGAGGTGACTCAAGATACAAGTTGGACATCTTGCAGTTTTTTCACTGTGATGAGAAGTGAAAGATGTTGTCTTGCCTCATCTCTATGCTATTTTTGGATGGATGGATGTCAGACACCTTGAAAAGGAAGGTTAAAATAGTGAAACAATAACCCAAATCAAAAAGGATAAAAATTCTCCTGTAAAGTTTAGAATGATCTAGTGATTCCAGTCAGGTACTTCGATGACTTAGGAAGAAATCTGAGTCAGTACAACAGCACAAGGGGCAGATTCATTTTCTCAAGATTCAGATATGAATCAATTTAAGGTTGTGCAATCAAAGCTTTAAACTTGTTTTCTTGACTACTCACATGTGTATGCCATGGGACAAAAAGGCACAGTATTTGGGTCCTGTTACTGAATATTGAATGTTAATAAATGTCTCTGTTATTACTGAGAAAGTTAAAATAACAAGTTATACAATAGATGTAAGTGCAACAAACATTTTGAAAACAATCCGGAGAGCCAGTGACCATGCTACTAAGTGAGCAAACATGAGTAGCAGATAKTAGTATGTAAAACCTGTCTCACTCCAGTACGTAAATGCACTTGTTACACAAAATCCCAGTGTTGAATGATAAAAAAACCTAATTTGACCGTGTTTGGGGTCACTCTGTACATAATTCAGTGCCACTTAGACCTTACCAAGAGGTATGTGGAATATTGCAAACCTTGTCAGATTTGCAATTGTGAATTTGAATTTACCAAGTCCAGTTGGTCATACAGTCTTTGCAAAGACTTGACAGAAACTCTTGTCTCCTGCTGTGCTTGCGTTTCACCCATTAAATTAATTTCTGTGTGAAAAACAAAGTGTCAACACAGTTATATTAGTGGAAACAGGCATAATTCCTGGTGGGAATCAATCAGAGATTTTTTTATGTGGGTTATTCTCTCATGTTTAGCATTACCCTTAGCTGAGGATCAGCTCTTTGACTATCATGTGTTCATGTAAAGCCTCATGTATGTTTTCATTTGCAGTGTTTGTATTCATGGCAGATTTGAGGTGTTCTGATGACAGATGGGCTTACAAGAATAAAGTGGATTCTTGCTTCGTTGCAAAGACAGAGCTGCTTCAGGGTTACACTCAAAATGGATATTTGCCTTTGATCTGTATGTATGACATCTGTTGACATTAGTATATGTCTAATGCCAGGCTCAGGGTAGATGTCTCAACATGCCAAATGTCCATAACTGGCCTGTCCAGATAATTGATTTAAAAAAAATGTTAAATGCACTGAATAATAAATTTTAAAAACACCCCAGCAGCTGAGGTTAGGCTAAGCATAAAATTTTTCCTTTTACTCTCAATTTAAACTGAAACATACAGCACTGTTTTCAGCAGCTGCTTGGAAAATAAWCGAAGGAAATTCCTGTGTTCACAAAATCACCATTGGTCGCCAGTTTTTCTTGGGATTTTGTTGTTTTATGTTGTCACCTAGAAGGTGARAACTTACATTTACTTCCCCTATTTCCTGAGGGCTTTTTAATTTTGTGTGTTACATCAGTCATTAACCACAAAGCTGAAAATTAATATCTGGCTGGGGAGTGTTCATAAACCCCTCTCTTTAAATTTTATATGAATAGCTAAGATGTCATTGGAGGAGAAACAGCAAATGAAAAATTTTGCCTGGCAAGTGAGCATCCTTACAGGTGGTGCTGAGAGCCAGACTCATGCTCTTGCTTTTTTCTATTAATTTTAGGTATTTTATGTGTAGTGGGATAGCTTCATCCCGAGTTGCTGAGAGAGTCTCACTTCTAGCTGTCCTACAGTATGAAGTGTAGATATTAGTGGTTGAATCTCCACTTGAGCAGAGGAGGGAACTAAACTCAAGCTGAAAACCAAGTGCCAGAGCTAGAGAGATATTGGGCAAACTGAAGACCCCCACCAGCAGCAGTTTTAGGGGTCAGGGTCTTCTCTGACATTCCCACAGAGTGCTTCTGACATGATATGGGTCAGATTCACATAATGCTGGGGGATGTAAGTTTTGGATGCGTTCTTCAGACTGTTGCTGCAGTCGAGGCCAATCCCCTTGTGTTTATTGCTCCTCCAAGCAAATGTGTTATACTAGTAATGTATTAGTGCTTTTAGCAATAAATAGGATATTAATTACTTTTTAATAATAACACGGGTTGAGCCAGCAGGCCTTGAGAGCTACTCAGATGTACAAGTTACAGTGAAACTTTGTTTTGGTAGTTAAAAAGAAATTAATGCRGAGGTCTTCCCAAAATGCAACATGAAGCTTTAAGACCAGTAGGGATGCTGTGTGAACATCCAATTGCACTCTCTATGTAAGTCATAGCTCCTTCACTGYATACTTTGGTCTGCCCTTTATCAGACTTGGTTATTTGTTGTGAACTGTGTTGATTCGTTTTCTAAACCTGTTGATTGTCATAGCTGTGCAATTTAAAAGTTCTGGGGGTTTGGAGGTTTAAGATCAAAACCTGCCTTAGACCAAGTGAATTGACAGCATTTGGAGCAGCTAGAAAAGTGTCAATTTTGGTATAAAAACCAACTTGTGTTTGTAAAACATGAGCAATATAAGAATTACTAGAAAATATATCTAAATTCCTGACCAGTCACAGTTAATACAGAAAGTATCTTTTAAGAAACATGAAGCTTATCCCATGGAGATTTTGATGTAGCCAAAGCAGGAGAAGGYCTGCACATTGATAGACAGTTTCTGYCAGCAGYTGGGTTGCAGATTGTACAGTAGTCTAGGGCAGCAGACACWTCATAGTTTGCTATGATGTGCACTTGAGTTAAGAGGAGAGTTTAAGGATTTTTTTTAAGAGAAGAGATGAATTTGACAGTGGGGCTGTTCCATGTCCTACCACTTAGCTGTATAGTTTCACAATATTATGATAGAAGTCTGGTTGTCCTACTCTTTGAAGTCTTGAATTTTTCAAGGTGTTCAAGGAGAGTCACTTTATGGGTGGGAGAGCCGGCAGGAAGGGTGCAAGTACAAGAAGAGCCTCCTGTGATGCTCTTCAGGCTTGTTACGCTTTGAGCCACAAGTTTTAGTAACCAAAGGGATTTGTGATCTAAATTTGATTGCTCATCTGAGGGCTGGGGTCTTTTCTCTGAAATATGAGGGTAATGAAGTGGTTGTTCAATATTCTCATAATGAGGATTACGAGACTACTATGTGATGCCTTTGGAGATGACAGCCCTTCATGCTCTTGTGAAAGGAGAAAAGTGTTGTCTCCTTTACTGCAGCAAGAGAACAACCAGATCAACATTTTTAAGCTAGCGGATGGTTTCTAACTTAGAGCCGGTGCATTGTACAGTCCTGTTAGTAAGCAGGAGGTTATGTGGGATAAGCAGCTATCTCCATGCAGAAGACCGTAGTTCGGTTTGGATTTTTATTAAATAARCTGCTCCATGCCCTACCAGCAGTCAATGAGACATTGAGAAATTTTGGCAAATCATTCCTGTGTGAAACAAGACAAAGCAGTGAAGAGTAAACTCCATGAACAGTTACCAAAACATTGCTTTTCTAAATCATGTTGTCTTTCTTCTTCTATTTGTTCAGTAAAAAACCGTCTTTCCTCTAATTGTCTGTCCATGCTGGTGTGTCACCCCAGTTTGGTGCTCCAGTATGATTAGGAGGCTCCCATGTATCTGGTGGCTGAGAGTAAAGTTTGACTATTCTAATGGCCTCAGCTATTCAGGTTCAAAATGGAGTCATATTTGTATTTGTTTAGGCTCCTAGACTCATTTTAAGCAGAACATCAAAAAATCAGTGATGAGAATGACCCAACAGAGTATCTCACCCATCTCAAAGCCAGGCCATATTACCCTCATATTAAAGAATTTTTCATTGTGCTTTATCCAGCTTGAAAGAGCCGAGGTGTTGGATATTTTGTTTACCACTTATTTTCCATCTGAAGTCCTAAATTTCCCATGTGAATTTTATTGGAGGTGGGTCCAAAGACCATGGATCAAGTCTTTTACTGCTGTTGCTTTCAAGGATCTTTAGGTCAGGCTCCCTAAGACTCTTGAGATGGATACCTGAGTGTGTGTAACATCCCCAGCACCTGAGTTGCTCCACTGATATAAAGCTCTGACTCTCACAGAGGCACAAGGATTTAGGATTTCTGAGAAACTTGTCACTGATGTGAACGAGCCTACCATTAAGGCTGGGTTTGTGCCCCTCACAGCATCAGCACCCCAAGGTGCAGCRCACTTCTTGGTTACATACAGCTGCAGACTCAAGAAATGCATTTGTTCACATAGCAGTGACTGCTTTCAAACCAGCCCAAGTGGCTTGTTCTTTTCTAATCAACTTTGTTGAGTTGTTTGGTTGGTTTTGGCTTGTTTGTTTGGTCTGGGGTTTTTTTGAGTCCATGTGTTTTCCCCTTACAACATTTATTTTGTGTGGGACCTTTGTAATTCCTTACAAAGTGAGGTCATACTTGTTGGAGTATCTTTCCTGTAAAAAGCTTCACTGAATGAAGACAATTTGTCCTTTTCAGAAATATCGTTTCCTAGCAAGGAAWGTTATGTGGAGGATACAGTTGATCTTTTGAGCAATGTTTCTCAATGTTTTGAGCATCATTACATTGTGTAAGGTGATTATCAAAACATCTGTTGTGTGAGGTGTGAGAGCAGAAAGCAGACAGCTATTTGCCACTCATCTTACAAATTTTTTTTGTGCCATTGCTTGAGGATAGGCCCTCAGGATTATTCTGGAAGCTTTTGGACTCTGATGAAGGCAGAATGTGGAAATGAGCTGTGATGGCCTGCTTCACCAGCCAAGGTCAGTTGGAAACCAGTATCTACTTGAAACAATTTAGATTAGTTGATTGGCTGCTGTCATTCTTTTCTTGGAGGACTGACTGACCCTCCAGTAATCACCAGTATTTCTACAGAAAGAAATTTAGTGGAAAATTAATTTTGRTCTCTTATTGAGAGATCCTGCAGTCTCATTTGTGAAATTCTGGCTTCTGGGCTTTACTCCCAAGTAAATTTTTGTTATTTTGCTGTTCTCCAATGTGTTTTGGCCTTGGCAGGAATATTTTCTAGAGGTATCAAATTCAACTTTTACAAGGGCTTACCCCAGTGTGATGAGACTTGTCTCACATCAGATTCCAATGACTGTGATCTTGCTTTACATATATTTTAAATCTGAACTTAGGTTTTTGCTTCCCAGACTTTTCAGGGAGAATTCCAGCGTGTCTCTCAGCAGAATCCCACCATTGATTGAGCAATGTCTTTTTAAAAAATTGCATTATTTTCTTAAACTTGTTTGTTTTATTACCAGTAATCTTGGTATTTCTCTTTCAAGTTGTATGATTCTTAGGACACCAACTGTTCTTGTAACTGTACATGTGTCAGTATCCTGCCCTTTCCCTCCTTTGAGTGGAAGGAAGAAATAGAGAATGAAGTCCAAATGGGAGAAGCTTTACATCATTGCTTCCTTTGAGCATCCAGAAGGTGCCACATGACCGTTGGTGTCAGCAACACCCTTTATACTTTTTCATGTTATGCCTTCATGCTGGGAAAAATCTCCCCAGCTGAAACAAAARCACTACAAATCCATCTCACATCCTCTTTCATGTTTATCCTTGCCATGTGGCATACCCAAAAATAATCAGTAATTAATCTGTAGTTGCCATGGTTTGTCTCACTGTCAGACAGTGCTTTGCTGTCCCTTTGTGTTTCTCACAGACTTGTTGAGACTGAATCTGGTCTTCTGTTCTGTGTTTGCACATTGTGTTGGGACACATGTYGTGATTTAATGGTAGATTTGTGCAAGATTGGCCAGCTGGTGCTCTGAGATACATGCAGCAGGAGGCTGGGCTTGCTCAGGCTGCTGATTGTACCCAGTTTGATCCTCTAATGAAGAGACTTTTTGCAAAATTACTGCTTGCTCCCATCTACAGCCTACTCCAGAGCTAAGCTGGTCTCAGAACTGTCTCTTGGCTTTTTCAGATGTTTAAACACTCAGTTGTGCAAAGCCTGTGATGGGTGGCTCATGAGAACAGCTTGAGCTGCAGCAATGCCAGCAGTAAGTGGTRCATGAACTCATTAGGCCCACGGCAGGTTTGAAGGTAAACCTCAGGTGTTGTGCAGAACCAGGGCCTCGCAGTGAATTTTAGCAAAGACTAGTTAAACTTGTGAGCTTGCAAATTAAAAGAGTTAAACCTAATGAGTTGATGCAGACCATGTGGAATTGAGTTACCCATGTTCAGTGTCTGATAATAGACTGTGATTYTCTGTTTCCTTAAGCGTGGAGGTTTGGAGGCTTCTATGCTCAGTACTGTAGCATGACTTTGACATTATCCTGATTTCTGCTTATGTACTTGTTCAGAACTACCTCATGCAAAACCTCAAAGTACCTCTGTATTTTTTAATATTGAGAATCGGCACATGTGTCTTCCAAGGGCCTTTGAAGGGGCCTAATAATGGGGAGCTCAGGCCCTTTGCTTTTCAACCGTTTGTGTTTTAAAATCCAGTCACCTGTTTAATCAGGGAAATTTCTAACCATGATACTAGAAATATGCTTGGTTAAGAAAATTTACTCCRACAAAAGAAATCCCTCTTAATGAACTGGAGCTAGTGTGCACCCTGAGCTGATGGCACTAGCAGAAATAAGCAGGAAAAATAAGCCTAATTATTATTTGAGGTCAGAAGGATGAACCTGGGGGTTTGTGAGGAATAGTGTTCCTGAGGAAGAAACTGAACCCAGAAAGAATGGTTTCTAAGTGCTTGAGGTCTAGACCTCAAAGTCATTTGTTACATTTAAGCAGCAAGGTTCTAGTTAAAACATTTTTTACTGTTCCAGTGTAACAAGATACATGCAATGTCTTCACTCTTCAATATCTTTATCCTTCATCCTTTAATGCTGATGTTGTGCTCAGTGATAGGTTTGTAGTTTTACTCGAGCTGTGTAAGGTCCTTGCAGTCTTCACTGCTCTTCACAGAAAGAAATGTATTCTTAGAGAGCTGATAGAGTGCTTCTGTTTGCATTTGTTTTGTTGTATCATAGTGAGTTGCTTTAACAATCCTTAAAGGTGGTGAAGTGATTGCCATCACTTGTACTCAGTACAGATTCCAAAATCTCTGCTTCTACAATTTGTTCCTCTGAAGTAACAGGAATTGGTGTGCAGCAGCTTTAGAAAGTAACAGATCATCATGGTTCAAACARTACTTCTTATCCTTGGAGGATCTTCAATCTTGCATCTTTCTTGGAGGTCTTTCAATGTTAGGATGGGGATTAAAGGATTGGCATAGACAACTGTTTTTTCTCAGAGTAARGTGTAAATTTTAGAGGTAAGAGAGCAGAGGTTCTAAATGTTGCCACTCTGTCTTCCTTAGATAATGAAGCCCAGGACAGCAGTTTTCTGTCATGTCCAGGCTATACTTTTTGGGTGGAGGTCTGAAGGATATAGTCTAAGTTGGTGAGAACGTAGGAGAGCAGAGGTGTTACAGCCTGCTGTTACAGTGCCTGTTCATCAGATCCTTTAAAGTTTCTCTGAAAATAACTTTTCCAATGAAGAAAGCAGGAAAGGATATGATGCAGAGCATATTTTGGAAAGATGCAGAGCATATTTCATCTATTCCTCTGCAGGCTCCTTAGCGTTGAGAAGAGGTCTGGGCAAACTCTGGCACAGTGTGAGGCTTACATTCATCTTTTCTYACCATCAGCTGATCTGACTGGCCATGGGGTGCAGATGAACATGATCCTCTCTGGAATGGTGGGAAATAGCACAGGGATCTCTGCTCCACGTGTGCCCAGAGCTGTTGCATGTCTTAGGCCTGTTTGTGAGAGGTCACACTGAGGTTACARTTCTTGGAGCACAGGCATAGCTTGGGTGGTGTCAAACTGTGTGCATAGAGGGGGAAGAAAAACAACAGGGATGGCTAAAGGGGACAAATAGCTCCTTTCTTTCATATCACTTACTTATTAATTGCCTGGATCCCAAAATGAATGGCTTTCAAACACAAATTCAAAATAAAGCCTAGGTTTGTCTTTTTCTACTGCTATTTCTTCCGCCTCCATGATTTGTAGGAGGCACTTAAAAAAGGCTCACATTAGTGTTATCATATTACTTTTTTGCCTCRTTATGACAATTCCTCAATATAATGACTTGTCTATGACATTCAGAGTTAATTCTTTGGTGAAGTTTGTACAAAAATGTTTTATTGTTATGGAAGGTGTGTTCAGTGTCTGGAGTAATATAATCRGGGAAGCTCTCTCTAGTTCAGAGACTGAATTAAATTTTGCCTGGCCTTAAGCTTCCTTCTTTTAGCTGTGTCCTTTAGGGTTCAATTACCAGTTAAATAATTCCCTTATTCCCACTATCTGATGAGGAGAGCAATCTGCACCTACCTGCACTAGGTATTTCTTCAGTCTGAGAAGATAGTGTGGGCAAAATCGCTGTTTAGATTATGGGTGCTGTAAGTAAAAATTTAAAAACTTGAACCTAAGCCCCTGTGCTATGTTTTTACATGAAGCCAATAGAAATTGAGCAATGTCACAAGGCATGCACTGTTTCTATAGGCCCCAAGTTGTTGGTTTGCTTCTTGTTTTATTTTTGAAGGCTTTAAATCAACCCTGAAAACATGTAGCTCCTTGCTTTTGGAGGATCCATAAAGCTGAATCTTGTCTGCATGCCTGGGGCAGGAGTAAAGCTAAAGGTGCTTGGTGCTACTCACTGCAACTACAAGCTTCAGTGATTCTGTATGGATGCCACATTAATAACTTTAGCAGGAATGGTGTCTTAATCAGTACTCAGATCTCTTATATTTACTGTGAGATACTGAGAGCTGTTTCTTCAGTAGTTTGCTGGGGCAGCTTTTTAACCTCATTGTTGGGTTAGSATCAGCTTGCAAAACCTCCTATTTCTGTTTTAGTCCAATGGCATTATGGTAGCAACAAACAGGAGGGCATAACACATCCTTAGTAYCAGGACTTCATCCTGAGTACATTACACAGCACATGCAGAACAACCAGGGGATCAAGCCCAGACAACATGCACTTACGAAAGACAGGTCCTGCTTGACCTGTGACCTGTGACCAAGTAACCCACTTAGTAGATGAGGGAAGGGCTGTGGATATGCTCTATCTAGACTTAAGTGAAGCATTTGGCAGAGTCTCCCACAGCATCGTCCTAGAAAACCTGTTTGCTCGTGGCTTGGGTGGGCGGACTTTCCGGTAAGTAAAAACTTGGCTGGATGGCTGGASCCAGAGWGTTGTGGTGAATGGGAGCTAAATCCACCTGGTGGTGGGTCACTAGCAGTGRCCARRGCTCWGTTTTGGGGCTGGTCCCTGTTTAGCATCTTTAAYGATGATCTGGAYCTRGGGGTTCAGGGYGCCCTCAGTAAATTTRCAGAAAACACTAAGTTGGGTAGGAGTGTTGATATGCTCAAGAACAGGAAGGCTCTGCAGAGAAAACTGGACAGGCGCGACCAGTGGGCTGAGGACAACAGCAGGAGGACAAAGGCAAAGTTMTGGGTCCTGCACTTGTGTCCTAGTARCCCTATGCAGCCTTACAAGCTTGGGGAGGAGCAGCCCAAGAGCYGTTCAGCAGAAATGGATCTGGGTGTGCTGCTTCACTGTTGGCTCCATATGAACCAGCAGAGCAAGAAGATAAATGGTGTCCTGGCCTCTGTGAAGAACGGTGTGGCCAGCAGGAGCAGGGCAGTGATCACCCTCCTGTACTCAGCACTGATGAGGCCACACCTGGAGTACTGGGCTTCAGTTCAGCTCTGGGCCTCTCACTTTAGAAAGGATGTTGAGGTGCTGGAGAGCAT